AAAACTGTTCTTACCTGTTGGGGAGGGTCTTTTGACTCCACATATACTGTCTTTAGTAATGACAAAAGATGCTCATTCTTCTTATTGATGGATTCAGTAGCCTCAGGATCTATATCAACAAGTGAGAAAGAAAACAATTAAGTAGGTTTTATTTTCTAGAATTCTCTTGTCTTTAAAGCTGACGTTTATTCTCTAGAGTCGACATTATTTCACACCTGTAACACAATAGATTTACCAAACTATAAAGTGAAGTGCTGCACTTACCATCTGCTATGCTTTGCTACAGCTTTGCGAAACAGAAGCCTTAGACAGAGATGAGGGTTTTGGAAATATGCTTTTTCCTTTACGCTTTCAAAATCTGACATATCCTGGTCACACCCACACACCAGGGCCAACTTTCCCAGATGCCAATTAACCAACCAATATGTTTTGGGACTGTGGAAGGAAATCCTTGGGAAACCCACGGGGGGGAACATGCAAACTCTACACAGACAGCACCCCAGATCCAGAATTGAACCCAGGGCCCCTGTGTTGCGAGGCAGCAGTTTTAACCACTGCACAAAATATACTGCCCTTGTTAGAACAGGTACAAGAAAAAAGAGCCTTAACTCATTTTGCTTCTTTTTACAGAAATGTGAAGACAGAACTTCCCTTAAGTATATTCTTTAGGTTACCCCCATGGAAAACATCCCAAATGTTCAGGTAATTACAGAATTGACCAACCAATATAAAAACAATTAAAAAACAGTACATCAAGTGCAGCCCCATGTACAATTATACCATGTATGAGATGAATACCTCGTTTAAAATTTCGTTTAGTTAAGTACAACTGCAGGAAGTGGACCTAGTTAATGTTAAAATATTTTCCTTTCAAAATACTTTAAAATTTAAATATTAATCACACATTTATACTGCATTCTTAAGTACAAGGTCACAGCTCAGTTTACATAAAACCCCTTGACTTAAAATTCTTCTTGTTTCAGTTTAACGATGTCGCAAAAAGCTTAACAAATCTAAATCGATACTCTAGTAAGGGAAATGGTCATCGAATTTACTGGTAATTCTTGGCATATTCAATAAATTGACTAAGACTTCAATGTCACTGACATGATGTTGATATTTCAAGAATAAATATCGTTACATTAAATAGGTTAAATGTTAAACAAGGAACATGATTTAAGTAGAGTACATAAGATAAAATATCACAATTATCTATGAAAAAGCATCGCGTGTGTCTGTGTAACTCATTCAATGCACTACACGTTACACAACCTCGTCAATGACAAATTGCTCACTGGTGTTTTTCGACTTACTTTCTTTAATTTGCTGTATGATGCCTTTAGTCAAAGGGTGATGAGGCGCCGCTGAAGGTTTGGATTTGCTTATCTCCTTGTGAGCCCGGTTTTCCAGATTAAAATTTCTGAACGCACGTGAAACACGCGACCCCATATTTCACTTCATAATACAATTTTATCGCACTCCGTGAAACGTTATGGTCAGACAGCCCAACCTTCTACGGAAAGGGACAAGGAACAAACACAACCAACCTTGAAAACCAGTGCATAAAAGACGTCACTCTTGTGTCACAGCGGATGAGTTCAATGCGAGTAAGACCAGGCAGCGAATTTAATATATCCAGAAATAAACATCCGAGACTCTGTATTTCACGATTTATTATTTTATATCAATAGCCTCCTCATCCGTAGATGGGTCTGTACTTGAGCTTCTGTCTAAATTGAAAAACCTTGAGGTGATATTCGATTCTGGCTTAACATTCGACCCACATGTGCAGCATATTGTCAAAACATCTTTTTTTCACCTCAGAAATATCGCTAGACTACGCCCTGTGCTGTCACTAACTGTGGGTGAAAAGCTGATCAACACATTTGTGTTCTCTCGAATTGACTGCTGTAATGCTCGACTTTCTGGGGTATCTAACTCCACATTGAACAAACTCCAGTTTGTCTAATATTTGGCAGCCAGAATCCTGACGAGGTATAGTGCAAGTGATCACATTACTCCTATCCCGGGGTCCTTGCACTGGCTTCCTGTCAAATTCCGTGTGGACCTTAAAATCCTCATGCTCGCCTATAAGGCTCTGCATGGCTTGGCACCTCAGTACCTGTCTAAACTATTATAGCCCTACTCCCCACATCAGAACCTTCGCTCTTCAAATTCTGCCCTCCTTACTGTCCCCCAAGCCCGTCTACATTGTATGGGCGACAGGGCCTTCTCCTGTTATGCCAACAAGCTCTGGAACTCTCTGCGCAAGGATACCAGAGAGTCACCTTCTCTGAACTCCTTCAAATCCAGACTCAAAACCTTCTTCTTTAGAAGAGCATTTACTTAACTGGTTCCATTCTTCACCCCTCTGCTTTTCCTACTACCCCATCCACGGTCTCCTCTGTATATTGTAATTGTGTTTTATCTTGTGTATTCTTTTAATTTATTGTCGTTGTCATTCTGTAAAGCGCTTTGATAAGCCACCTTTAAAGGCGCTATATAAAATAAGGTTTATTATTATTACCATTCTTGTAATTCCACTGAAACCACACTATAGACTATGAGAACTCTGAGCAACCATATTGTATAAATTGAAATACTATACCTAACAGATGTTTGTTAAGCTGCTAATAAGTAACGATAAAATGCAACATTATAATCTGTAAGGTAAACAATATTTCAGAATATCACCGATTGATAGGATTCGGGACACCGCAGGTTTGTCAATTGTAAACGGCAACTATTCGTTTGCACATATATTTTAATTGTAAATGACTGTGTAGGGCGTTTCCTCTGTGCAGTACATTAGCATTGCTGTCTCGCTACGGTGGGGCCCTGGGTTAAATTGCTGAGACGCTGCATGGCGTTTGCACCCTGTCCCCATGATCACGACGTGGGTTTCCTCCCACAGTCCAAAGACATACTCATATACTCCGGCGTGAGTGTGTTGCATGTCTGTGTCTGCGACCCTGTATTTGGATGAAACGGTTAGAAAATGGATAGATGGATGCACTGAAAATAATGAGGAACGATTTCAAGTGAAATATTTTTTTTTACTTCAAATATATGTAACTTGAGGGGGGGGGGGGATCTTGAAAAAATAAAATATTGGGCCATAAGAAAAAGATATAGAATTATTTTCGCTCCCAGCTTCTTCCAATTCAGGGTAGCAGGGCAAGGGCAGCCAGAGCCTTTCCAAAGGGCGCACAGAGGGATATATCCCGGACGGACGCGACAGTCCATCACAGGGCACACACACTCACACCGGGAGAATTTTCCTGGAAGCCAGTTAATGTATTTTATTAGTTTAGGGGATGTGTCTGTCTTTTAAGATTGTTTAAATTCGATTTTTAGGCTAGTGAACACAGATCTCACAAATTGGCTTAGCAAACCAATAACCATATAAAACAGAAATGAAATAATTCGCTGTTTGGTGTAGATCAATAAAAGGAAATAGTGCAGCTGTTGACTAAATAAAAAAATGTTTTTTTTAATTAAATAAAAAATATATTTTTACAGACCCACTGTCCCCGTGAGTTCAAAACACTTTTTTGGTAGAGTTTATCACTACGGTCACTGTATTCAGCACTAACTTTCAAGTGGTGTTAATAGGCGTTACCAGTAGGCGGCAGCAAATAACGAGAAAGAATGTGAATTATTATTGAGCCACACCTCAAAATTAGATGACAATGCTCCTGTGATGAATATGTTAAGTCACAGTCAACACCATTCTTCAAGCAGTATTATGAAAAGAAAAGATTACTTGCTAATTGACAGAAATATCAAATATCAGAGGACTATAGGACAAAAATCTGATTTACAAGGACAGTTTGTTTACAATTTCTGTACTATATTTTCCCAGTTTACCCTGTGGTCATATCATCTTGGCATTGTAAAATGCAAATGTTTAACTACTGCAGAAATTAATATAAAACAATAACATAATAGCAACTTTCTATAAGGTAGCAGCTTTCGTAGCATGCTTTTTTCATACAGCACCAAACCTGCAGAGACCACTTCAGAAAATAAATGTTCAAAATGGTTTGTGTAACTAGCAGTGCTAGTTTATAAGATTTAATTTCAATATAGCAAAAGATGCATTTTATATTTTTTTCTGACTTCTGATGTATTAAGTTTGTTTGCCTACCTGTTTAAATAATTCCATTTACAAGCCTTTGGGAATAAAAGATTCAGTTTCAATTGATCTGGGATCGACGAGAAGAGACTAAAGATGAACCAATAAAAGACGAGAGCCTGTGTATATATGTTGCTCGTGGCTATTTACTAATTCAATATTAAAATATGGATTACTTCTTATACAAAGCAACACATAATGAAGTTTAATTCAACCACAAAAAATACAAGCACTTTTACAATACAAGAATGGCAGATATAAAATGAAATATAAAATGAATCTTTACAACATTGTTTTTATTCCTTAATCATTTTTATCTAATCTCGTTTAAAACCAATCAAGGAACTGCATCTTGTAGCCTGAGCAATGTTGTACAAATGTCCAGGATGATTACATTAATATTTCTAAAACAGATCAGTGATGAAGACTGTTAGTTAGCTTTTATCTGCTTCTTGTCTTCAGTCTTTGGTGGTATAATTTTAACATCAAAGAGAATGAAGAATTCCAGAAGTGCCTTGGTATCCTTTAAGTCTAAAGAGTACTCTTGGGCTATTTTATTAGGTGTCCAAGATTTAGGAGAGTGTTTGTAGTTGTTGAGGACGGTCAAGGCCTCCACAATGGACAGTTTTCCTTTTGGGATGTCTTTAATGTCCAAAATGCCATAGGGGTTTCCCACTACACGGGATTTGCAAGGCCTGCACTCCTCTTCATTTTTACTTGGAATTTTTGTCTTCATCGGGTTCTGCAAGAATTGAAACACCAGAAGTTTACAACATGTAAGAAAGAGGAAAATAAGTGCGAGGGAATAAATGTCTTTAGTATTCCGAATGGGCAATTGTTTACAGCAGCAGACAATATAGAAAACACAGAAAACAACATACACAAACATGAACAAGAGAATCATCTCATGAGCAAGGTTATGGCCACAAGAATATAATGAGGAAAAATAAGCAGAAAAACACGTCTCTGCTGCATGTCCCACACATATTACTGTATGCCTTCTCCAAAAATGCAGATTAGTCACTCAGAGATCAGTGTTCCTGTACCCAGTAGAATAATATTAAGTATTCTTAACCTCAAGGTGGTAGAAGGCAAACATGAATTAACTATTTATGCAGCATGTGATACATACAGTGGCTATCAAAAGACTGTATGTACGACAAGAAACATTATTTAAGCATAGTACATGAGATAAAATATCACAATTGTCTATGAAAAAACATCGCTTGTGTCTGTGTAACCCATTTAATGCACTACACGTTACACAACCTCGTCAATGCCAAATTGCTCACTGATGTTTTTCGAATTTCTTTTATTTGCTGTATAATGCCTTTGGTCAAGGCGCCGCTGAAGGTTTGTGAGCACAGTTTTCCAGTTTAAAATTTCTGAACGCACATAAAACAAGCGACCCCATATTTCACTTCGTAATACAATTTTATCGCACTCCGTGAAACATTATGGTCAGACAGCCGAACTTTCTACGGAAAGTGACAAGGAACAAACAAAACCAACATTGAATACCCGTGCATGGAAGAGGTCACTCTTGTGTCCACGGATGAGTTAAATGCGAGTAAAACCAGGCAGCGAACTTATTATATCCAGAAATAAACCTCCGAGACTCTATTTTTGACGATTTATTTTCTGATATCAATTCCCCCCTCATTTTTGTACTGAAACCATACTATAGATTATGAGAACTTTGAGCAACCATATTGTATAAATTGAAATACTATACCTAACTAACGTTTGTTAGGCTGCTAATAAGTAACGACAAAATGCAACATTATAATCTGTATGGTAAAAAATATTTTAAAATATAATTGATTGATGGGAGTCGAGACACCGCAGGTTTGTCAATTTTAAACGGCAAATATTCTTTACAAGAATAACACTTCTGCACGTATCTTTTAATTGTATATATGTTGGGCGTTTCCTAAACAGACATTTCTTCTGTCTAGGAACAAGTAATAGGTTTATTCCATGCTGAAAAAAGACATATATACATATAGGGTGGAGGGGTGGCTCTGTAGCTAAGGATCTGTGCCTGTGGCTGGAAGGATGCTGGTTCATATCCCATGGCCGGCAGAGGAATCCTACTCCACTGGGCCCCTGAGCAAGGCCCTTAACCCCAGCTGCTCCAGGGGTGCAGTATAAATGGTTGACCCTGCACTCTGACCCCCAGCTTCCCTCCCTGTCTGGGTGTCTCATGGAGAGCAGGCTGGGGTATGTAAAAAGACTAAAATTCCCAAAACAAGAAATTGTATATGGCCAATAAAGTGATCTGATCTGATCTGAAGTTTGTTGAAAAATTATTTATGACACCTGAAGAAGGCTCCACGGCCGAAACGTTGTGTTCTATTTCTTCTTTTTTTTCAGCATGGAATAAACCTATTACTTGTTCCTTTGCAGCCTACGCACGCTGACGCAGCTACCCACCTGAACTAATTTCTTCTGTCTTATGTCTTCTTGGACATACTGTATTTAATCTTTCTCTAGCTCAGTCTATAGTTCCTTCCTGCTTAAGAAAACCACCATCGTCCCTGTCCCTAAGAAACCCAGAGTCAGTTGCCTTAATGACTGCAGCCCCGTTACACTCACATCAGTTATCATGAAGTGCTTCGAGTGGTTGGTCAAAGCATACATCACCTCCTCACTGCCTGACACCCCCAGTCCCACTACAATTTGCGTATCGCCAGAACAGGTCAACAGAAGATGCTATTGCCACTGCCCTCAATACTGCCCTCTCACACCTGGATAAGAAAGGAACATACAGAACTGTATGTGAGAATGGTGTTTATTGATTACAGCTCAGCATTCAATACCATATTGCCCTCAAAGCTCGTCATCAAGCTCCAGGACCTGGGACTGAACACCTCCCTCTGTAACTGGATCCTGGACTTCTTGACAGAACGTCCGCAGGTGGTGAAGGTGGGCACCAACATATCCTCTACCCTGACTCTAAACACTGGAGCCCCCCAAGACTGTGTGCTTAGCCCTGTCCTCTACTCCTTATTTACTCATGATTGTGTCGCCAGGCATAACACAAACTCCATCATTAAGTTTGTAGACGAAACAACAGTCATCAGCCTGCTCACAGATGGTGAAGAGTCTGAGTACAGGGAGGAGGTTGAAACCCTGGCGGCATGGTGCCAGGAGAACAACCTCTCTCTGAGCATCAGTAAGACTAAGGAGATGATTATGGATTATAGGAAACACCAGGGAGGAGATCACACACCTATTTACATCAATGGCACTTCAGTGGAGATGGTCAGCAGTTTTAAGTGCCTGGGAGTTAATTAATTTAGGCGATGTGTCTGTCTTTTAAGATTGTTTAAGTTACTGTACATTTTTAGGCTAATGAACACAGATCTCACAAATTAGCTTCGTAAACTATTTTCCACATAAAACAGAAATGAAATAATTGGCTGTTTGGTGTAGATCAATACAAGCAAATATTGAAGCTGTTGACTAAATAAAAAATGTTTTTTAATTAAATAAAAAAATATTTTTGAAGACCCACTGTCCCCGTGAGTTCAAATAATTTTTATCGTTGAGTTTATCGCTGCGGTCACTGTATTCAGGACGAACTTTCAAGTGGTGTTAATAGGTATTACCAGTAGGCGGCAGCAAATAACGAGAAGGAAAAAGCCTTTAAAATAGTCATTGCAATCTTTTCCACTTATTAAAAGCAGAGGAAGTGGTAGTTATGTGCTATGATCTCCGATATCTGTCAGAGTTTCTCAGAAACAACGTAACTAAGCTTGAACCTGAGTTACATTTTAAAGAGTGAATGATGATTTCAGGAAAAACGGTCATTTAAATTAATTGTGTGAGGAATACTGCCAACATCTTTAATTCTTGCCATGATTTATATCTCACGAAAATATTTAACCTCCGATATTTTGGTTTTCTAGAGAATACTGCATATTTCCTGAATAGTGATGCAAGATTTATAGAATGTAGAAGTTAATAAAAAAAACTGTTTGCTCGAACATGTGACAAACACTAGTCTCTCATGGAAAAACATGCACAAGCTGTTTGATTTTTTTTCATAATCCACTCCACCTTTATTGCATCAGCATTCTACATGCTACATCTGGGAATAATCTTCTTAATACAGAAAAATGCATGGCCCAACACAGAAAAACACCACATACCACCACATAAAATCAGCCTGGGGAACAAGGAAATCTAAAGTTCTTCACTGATTATCTGACAAACTACGACATTGGCATGTACTATATATTATCTGTACATCAGCACAGTTGAGTGGATCATTAACATGGTTGTTAATTGTTTTTTTTTTACCATTTTTCATTCCTTTGTCCATATCTAACAGCAAGGTACAGTATTATAAAGAGGTACAGGAGGCAATAGAGTAGTGCTGGAGTACTCATGCGGGTTGAGAATGCAGCACTACATGCTTAGATTGAATTTTTACTACAGAAATCCTGCCAATAGATTCCCAGTTCTACAGTACTGTACCTACTACTCAAAACACCTAAAGAATCTTGAACACTTTTGGTTAATTTCCAGGTACTTCCCAGCTTGGTAAAACTCCAACCCCTCTTGGACAAATTACACAGTAAGCACTAAACTGTACATAGTAAGAAAGCTCCTAGGCTCCTATTATACCTACTGTATATGGTAGAGGTCTCCATCCCTGGTCCTGTAGAGCACCAGCCCAGCTAGTCTTACATATCAGTGGTTTCACATGATAGGAAACACATTTAAGGTATCAGTGAAGTAAGCAAGTTCCATTTAGGAATCTTTTGGTTACTGAAGAGAGCTGAGAGAGGTACTCAGAATCTGGTCTGATATGATCTCTAAATTGCTTGATTTATCATGATGAAGTTGTCTAATATTTTTAGTTCGTGAACTCAGAAACCCAGACTACAGGCCCACCTCCAGCTGTGAACAGGCCCATGGTGATTACAATAATATAAACAATCCATCCATCCACTTCCTAACTGCTTCATCCACTCACGAGTTGCAGGGGAGCTGACGCCTATCCTGGCAAGCACCGTAAAAAATGGGACACACCCTGGACAGGACAGGACAGCAGTCCATCGCAGGGCACACAGGCACACTCACACCAGGGCCAGTGTTTCTAGGAGACAGTTAACCTAGCTGTATGAGTTTGGACTGTGAGAGGAAACTGAAGCAGCTGGAGGAAACCCACGTGAACACAGGGAGAGCACACAGATAACACCCCAGGGCCGGCATCGAACCCAGGGCCCCAGAGCTGTAATTGTGCTGCCCCAATATAATTTATATAAAATCTTAGCATAGAACATTATAAATAAGATATAAAGAAATAATTATAGGCTGCATAGGGCTAAGGAGAGGAGGTTTATTTTTTTTTTTCTGTCATCCCTGCTTTTTACTTTGAAACGTGCTGTACCAACACATTCAGTACGTTGCTTGGCTTCCAGGATTCTCTGAGAAGTGCCTTTCTTAACTTAAAGATGTTGATTATGGTCAGCAAACTTAAATACCAGCTGCGGAAGAGCTATGACTGCATTGTGCTCTTTCCGATGCCTGGTACAACCCTTGTGTCTTCTTAAAACATTGTTTTGTATACAGCCAATACCAGACAAAATAATGAAAAACATTAATTATGCATAGAATTAAGCTATTATCTCATATCATGAAATTGTGTGTTACCTATTAGTGATTAAACTGTTCATACAACTTATTTTTAGCTTCTACTACTGTAAATAAACCATGTCACAATAACAAATTGAATCCTTTTACTTTAGGAAAACGTGCTGGCTCACTATTGGTCTAATAATGAGAGGACAGAAGATGAACTCGCTGGAAGCACATGGTCTATTGGAAAGGCAAAAAGCAATGAACCGGCTGGGTAGCAGTGAGAAAACATTGAGCAGGTGTGAAGAAGGAGTCCACCTAGGAGAGGTAGTCACAGAGCCTGGTCATTGGTGGAATAGTGACTTGTGGTAGGAGACTTTAGCTAAAAACCACAGCCAGCAGCGCTAGTGCTGGGATTGCGCCACTCATGGGGAAATGGCTCTCTGGATAACCGATTGCCGCTGACTGAAGTCACACTTCAGTGAGTGTGAAATGACTCTTTATACACAAATAATAATCGAGTCATTAAAACAGCATATTTATGAAGCAGTAGTGTAGGGTTGGAACAATATACAGTATGTTCTGCAAATAATGGTGCAGTAATACAGTATAGTCGACTTGCTGCTGGCTGGGGCCTATTGTTGTCTTTTGCTTAAGGAATATCTGAGTACAATGTTCATTTAATACATCAGCCATTTCCATTTCACTGTCCAGAAGTGTACTGTATAAGTCCCTGGAGTACTGTACTTCATCCTTGATGGCTCCTGTGCTGTTGTAGAACTGAAAGAACGTATCTCATCCTTAATTGTAATGTTCCTTTCAATTTCCTACTTGGCTTCTCAT